CTTTTGTGTTTCCCCGCGGGCTTTGGGAAGTCTGGGGAAGAACGCAGCGCAAACAGCGGGGGAAACGACTCCTGGTTTCCCTCTCTCATTCCAGGGTGTGCCATGAGCGGCTTGATAGCGGATGCAAAGACTTTAATCGATAAAGCCAGAGTGGAGACTCAGGTGAGACTCGATGTTCTTTTCTTAAAACAGCAGCACTGGGCTCAGGGGCGTCTGGGAAGTCTCTGGCACGGGAAAACCGTTAGAGCAGAGGAGCTGGGGTGGAGTGGGAGGCTCGTGGGAGCCCTCACGGGGCTTTTGCAGAACAAACAGGTGGAGTTCCCTCTGAGTGTTTTAGCTCTTTGGTGTTGTGGGTTTGGTGGGAATCTCACGGCAGGTTCTCCAGGCGTGCTCCAGTGAATGTGTGGGGCCGTGTCTAGCTCTGTTTTGATGAAAGACTGGTTATAGTGGTGATGCTTTTTTATAAAAATTTACTCAGTGCCTCGGGAACGTGGAGATCCCAGGTACAAATCTCTGTGCTCTAGTAAAGACTTTTCCTGTGAGGTTTTCCTGCATTCCTCCTGCCTCTGGAGAACCAGATAACCCCATCGCTTTGGAAACAGATACTGGGGTAAAGCGCTCCGGCCTTGTGCTTTCCCTGTTGGCATCCCAAGGCCCAGGTATCCCAAGGTTTCTGGGGGATCCCTGCACAAACCTCCCAGCTCGTGCTGCACTTGCCACTCTCTTCCCGGAGCTTCCCTCTTTTGGCTGAACGGGCTGTGCCCCCGGGTGCCGGCACCCTGAACGGGCTGTGCCCCCGGGTGCCAGCACCTTGCCCAGAGGGAAGTCGTCTTTGTAGCTATGCCAGGCATCACTCCAGCTCGCTGCGGGAATGATCCAGGATTGTCATATTTTGTGAGCAAGGTGATAATCTGAATCTCTTCTTAATTTTTTTCCCCCTGCAGAATCACTGGTTCACCTACAACGAAACCATGACGGTAGAGAGCGTGACGCAGGCCGTGTCCAACCTGGCGCTGCAGTTTGGCGAGGAGGACGCGGACCCCGGGGCGATGGTGCGGGGCTGGGGGTGCTCTGGGGAGGAGGTGCCCTCAGCTCCCCTCTGGCTTTGCCCCCAGCCTCACCTAACCAGTCGGCTCCTTTCTGTTGCAGTCTCGTCCCTTCGGTGTCGCGCTGCTTTTTGGAGGAGTCGATGAGAAGGGACCCCAGCTGTAAGTTCAGCTCTCTTAATCCAGGCCAGCTCTGGGAAGAGACAAAAATCTTTCACTCAGACTTCCCAGGATGTTTTAATGACTTGATTCTGGGATTTTACTTAAGCCAAACGCTTGGGGTTTATCCCATTATGCACCTGATGTGTTTGTTAATGCTGTTAAACCCTGCCTTTTGCAGCAGCGTGAGCACGGGCTGCTTGTTCAGGGTTGAAGAGAACACCGTGTCTTCACCAATCCTTGCTTTTTTGATGTGGTTTCCTGGGCAAGAGGGAGGCGTTAAAGCTCTCCTCATCCCGAGTTTATTCTTACTTTTCCCTAAAGGACTAGCAGGGCCACCGGTAACATGACACGTGGAGCCTGCTGTAACATTCCTTGGGGAGGTGGTGGAGTGCTTGTAACCTGAACTGGTGTGCTTCAAACACTCAGCCTCTGCTGGAGGTGGGAATGGCTCCTCAGAGCCAGCCCAATAAGGTCTCCTTCGCAGGAGCAGTGGTGAAAACTTGCTGATTTTATTAAAAAAAAATAAGATAAAGGGGGAAATTGCAGCCTTCCAGTACCTAAAGGGGCTACAAGAAAGCTGGAGAGGGACTTTTTACAAGGGCATGTAGTGACAGGACACGGGGCAATGGCTTTAAACTGGAAAAGGGGAGATTTAGATTGGATATAAGGAAGAAACTCTTCCCTCTGAGGGTGCTGAGGCACTGGCACAGGTTGCCCAGAGAAGCTGTGGCTGCCCCATCCCTGGAAGTGTTCCAGGCCAGGTTGGATGGGGCTTTGAGCAACCTGGTGTAGTGGAGGGTGTCCCTGCCCATGGCAGGGGGGTTGGAACTGGATGATCTTTGAGGTCCCTTCCAACCCAAACCATTCCGTGATTCCATGAAATAAGAAGGAAAATGATTCTGCTCTGAGTGTGGAGTGCAGTGCCAGGAGTGCATCGCTCTCCTCCTGGCTTACCAGCCCAGCGTGGCTCTGCAGGTGACTGGCACTCCTCAAACCTTGGTTTGCCAGGAGGAGAGCCCTGCTGCTGCGCGGATCACAGCGGTCCCCCGAGGAGGCCGGAGGCAGCGAGGGGCTGTCGCTGCTGAGGAGCCCTTGTTCTTCTGTGCAGGGAGCTCTGGGGAGTCCTGTGGGTCTGGTGGGAGAGCCCCTGGGGTGCAGTGGCCGCTCACGCTCTCACCGTGTTCCCCCAGGTTTCACATGGACCCGTCGGGGACGTTTGTTCAGTGTGATGCCAGAGCAATCGGCTCCGCCTCGGAAGGCGCGCAGAGCTCTCTGCAGGAGGTTTACCATAAGGTAAAAGGCTGGGTCGGGGCTGACATCTCACCAGTTGCAGAGATAACTCACGAGAATCCACTGGTTTCCTTCCCGGTGGGTGGTTCATAAGGCTCTGCTCACGCTGTAGAGGAGGCGCGTGAGCTTGTCGGGGTGAAACGTGGTCCCTGGTGGTTGATCCCGTGATTAGATGTCAGTGCTGAGCTGTCGGGTGAGGATCTCTACGACGAGGAGCACTACCAGCAGCAGCTCCCCCCTGGGCCGCAGCCACCGCGGTGGTTTCGTGGAAGATGAGACGAGGTCTCTGCCTCTGGCGGGTGATAATTAAGACCATGTCAGGAAGTGCTCTATAAATAAAAACTGCTCCCTGGACACTGCTGCTCAGGATGGCCGCAGCCTGAGCGTGAGGAACTAGAGCAAGCAGCTCCGTTTCACCAGGTCTGCTAAGCCAGGGAGGTGGAAGACTGTTACGCTGCAGGTACTGGTCCTGTTTGACATGAAATAGGAACTTTCATCCCCCCTCAAGGGGGGAGCCACCCAGTTTGTGTGGTCAGAAACCAAACACTAATAAAAAACGTAATTGATGGTGTTGATTGCTGCGAAGGCGTCCAGCCCAAGGCTCAACAACCGAATTTGTTCGTTAGCAGAACTGCCCTGAGTTCTGTCAACCATCTTCCAAGTGCCAAGTGGCGGCAAACGCAGCTGCTGTCGCTCTTGGCGTGCGGCACGAGCCTCAGTCTCCCTCCTCACGCAGGGATTGACGTGATTAAAGCACGAAGGCTTTTGCCAAGAGGGAATCCGGCTTTTCAGAGCTCCCACTGGAGCTCCTTGGGGGGAACTGCTTGATAGGCAGTAACTGGTGAAGGGAAACGGACCCTCGTGTCCCGGTCCTGACAGGTTCGTGTGCCCAGATTAGCGGTTCTTAAGCTTTGCGAAAAGTTACACAGCAGCAGCAAGTCGCCATCCCTGCGATTGTCGCTGTCCTGCGCTCTGATCTCTTGTTGAGGCTGGAGATAACTTGATAAGCTTTCCAGTTTGCTGCCAGCGACGGCTCGGAGGGATCCGAGGGGAGCGGGAGGCAGAGCAGCACGCTTCCGCGGTCAGAGGGGTGGGTGACCGCCGGTCCGTGCTGGAGCAGCAGTGCCGTTAACGAGCGGTTTGTTTTGCAGTCCATGACGCTGAAAGAAGCCATCAAATCTTCCCTTGTCATCCTGAAACAAGTTATGGAGGAGAAACTGAACGCAACCAACATCGAGGTAACTGCGGCGCCGCCGCCGGGGTCTGCAGTGCCCGTAGCCTTGGCACAAATGCTGCTGGCGAGCGTCTCGGTGGTAGCAGCAGTGCCGTTAACGAGCGGTTTGTTTTGCAGTCCATGACGCTGAAAGAAGCCATCAAATCTTCCCTTGTCATCCTGAAACAAGTTATGGAGGAGAAACTGAACGCAACCAACATCGAGGTAACTGCGGCGCCGCCGCCGGGGTCTGCAGTGCCCGTAGCCTTGGCACAAATGCTGCTGGCGAGCGTCTCGGTGGTGCCTTGGGTTGTAAGCCCCCCCCCTGGGTAAGCAAGCTGGCTGCTTGCTTTCCGGAGGGAAGGGTTTCCTGTGCTGCCAGGGCAAGGAGTGAGCTGGTGGAGCAGCTCAGGACTTGCCAAGCCAATGGCTGCACATGTTCTTGCACTTGCAAGCTGCCCGGGGTAGCGTGTCGCGTGTGCAACGTTGGAAAGTTTGGAGCTTTCTTTTGACGTCTAGAGGTGTGCAGCCTGGCTCGCGGTGGCAGAAGCGATTCTCATGGGGCTCCCTGGACGTGGGCTGGAGATGGGTGGGAGCAAAGCCCCCGCTGACCTTCCACAGGCCGAGTCAGCCACCAGGAACCCGTCGTGCCAGCCGGATCGCTTTTTCTTCTCCTGGGTTTAGCTATTCTTTTTTTCCCTGGTACTTGTAATATTAGAAGGAATGAAAATTATACAGCTTCTGGACTTGCTATATTCAGTCTTGAGTCGGTGCCAAGAATCTGTTGGACAGGAGGACCAGAGAGGTGAAGCCTCCAGGAACGAATGTGCTCCTCTAACCTCCAGCTTTTGCTCGCGAGCCACCAGGCTGGCAGAGCTCAGCCCGACCCGAGCATGCCATGCTCTCGGAGGGCCCCGCAAATGCAGCGGTAGCTGTCCCCTTAAACCCTGCTCGTTAAGAGTTGTGATGCTCCTTTTTAGGTAGCAAAGGTAGAAACCCTTCCAGTTTGCTAGTGATAATGGGTGGATGATGAGCAAGGCTGGTGTATAGAGTTTGCTTCTATTTCTGGCGGGTTATGAGACACTAGACCTTTCCAAATCATGTCATTCCGACTCCTGAGCTGCTCTCCTCCCATTCCTTTCCTCCGAGTGCTGGGAACCCATTTCCCAAACAGCCTAAAAATGTGCACCCCGTTTTTTTTTTTAGTAAATACTGCTGCTGGAGACCCTTCCTGACAGGATTAACTGGCTTCCTTTGAGGGGAAAGGGCCAACAGCACACTGAAAACTTAGATGCTCTGTCCAGAAGCGATGCTGACCGGCTGAAATCTGCTTCCCCAGATGCACTCCTGACCCACACTCATCAGTTCTCTCTTGACCAGCTTCAGGTCTCTTCTGGAAGATCAGTACAGTGCGAAGAAACTGAGGGAGAGGAGCGTGTACAGTATCCTTATGTCATGTCCCCGTTTAACAGGGCTTAACTGTGCTTGGCAAAGCTCTGGACGTGGTGAGGAATCATATCAGGGTTAAGTATGAGAAGAATGTGCTGAGGATTAAAAGGTCTCTATTGACTCAAGTCACCCTTCTGGCTGAAAATCTCCTACCTGAAGTAGCTGCTCTGCTTTCTAGCCTTACAGAAGTATGTGGTGCCCCTGTTTATTTACTCTAGCTGCTTTCCCCCTCTTGTATGGGATTTCCATCCAGCAACAAAGAGAAGGGGCCAAGTGTGGTCATGGAAGAGTTAAATCCGTTGGTGGCAAAGGTCAGGAGCCTGAAACAATGTTATGCTTTTATATTAATTACTTCCTTGTGATGCCTGGAAAGGAACAGTTGAGGGAGGCTTTTGTTTGTAGGGAGAAGGTGAGGCACAGCTTGGAGCAGACATGGGAAAGCGCAGTGGTTGGTGTCTCAAAGTGCTTGGTTTGGGTTTCAGGGTGCATTTGGGTCTAGTGCCAGGCCAGCACCCATACAGGTGATCTGAGGGGCCTGAAGTGGCATCTGCAAGTGTGTCTGACTTGTCTGAGAACGCTGGGGTAAAACCTGGGCTCTCAGGCTGAGCGTTCAGGACGTTTCTTCTTGAAAAACGCTCATGGCTACCCGCCATCTACCCCAAAAGTGTGTTCTACAACCATCTCGTGCCGTTTCACGGACAACCTTGCAAGCAGAGGAGCCAAGGAAGCGCTCTGGGATTTGCCAGGACCTTCTGCAGCTTTCCTCCAGCGTATTGCACCCAAACACTTCGATCCTCTAAGAGTGAACGTACATGCCTGGTGCCTGCGAGCGAGGTCTGGGGCATCCCAGCTAGCTCCTGCAGCCTTCTGGCTTGCCCGCCCGTGGCAGACTTGGGCTCTCGTGCCACAAGCTAGGTGTGAACGCGAGTCCCGCGTGCGTTCCTCGTCCAGTCTTGTCGTTCTTCAAGTGTCTCTTGTTCTGATGCTCGTCCCATGAAACATCTCGGCTGTCTGCCCTGGGCACTGCCTCCCTCTGCTCCTGGCAAAGGCAGGGCAGAGCGTGTTGTGCCCCCAGCTCCGTCCCTCGGGCTTTGCCTCGGGAGAGACCTCCGTGGCCGGTTTGCACAGGGCCCCGGGCAGCTGCGGGGTGCGCCGTGGCTTGCTCACTGCCGGTGTTTGGCCATCAAAATGCAGGTTTGCCTCTGCCTCAGCTTTCCCAGCGCTAACCCTCCGTCCCCTGTTGAGTGATTTGTGCTCTCGGGTCTCCTGCGGCACGTCATGGGGCCAGGATTTGTGCCCATGGTGGGTCACTGGAGGAGAGGAGCCCCTTCTGCCCAGGCCCACGCTGAACTGTGCCAAGAACCGCCCCTCTCTGAGGAGCGTTTGGTGAAGGTCTCATCTCAACAGGGTCTTTCTTCCCCAGCAAGCAGGAGCAGAACCTGCCTGTTCAGGCCATCCCTGCTGCTGCTGCTGTGAGGGGGCTGAGTCAATTAAAAGCTATTTCTGCGGCAGGCGGCTATTTTGGGGAATCACGGAGCGTGTTCCGGGGTGGAATGATCTTGCTGGGCTGGCAGATCGGGCAGGCCGAGGGAACAGCTGCTCTGTCGGCTGGGGCTGCTCTCTGTTCCCTGCGCCATGCTGTCACTTCGCATATGCCGCCGCACTTAACCCCTTGCTCCTTCTCTTTCAGCTTGCCACGGTGGAGCCGGGAATGAAGTTCCACATGTACACAAAAGAGGAGCTCGAGGAGGTCATCAAGGATATTTGAACAAGAGAGACTCCCTCAAAGGCTCGTTCCCCACCTATCAAAGCGAACTGACTCTCGGTTCCAGCCAGTACCCGTGATTTTATTTTCCAGCAGCATCTGTAATTGCTCTTCTTCGAAGGCTCCTGAGGTTTTTTTACAGTTTCTGTACATAACTGATCTCTGCAATGAGAGGAAATGAGAATAAATCATTTTGTTACTCTAGCCTGGGTTTCTCATCGCGGAGCTCTGGGGTGGGAGGGCACCATTTGGAGCTAAAATCGGGGGCAGGCGAGGGCAACGTCTGCTGCTGAAACGGGCGCGGGGTGGAGTGGCGGCTGCCCGGTTTGCAGCGCTCCCGGTGCCGTACGGTGCCACCCGGCGCCCGGCTCCTCGCTGGCTGTGGCAGTACCAAGTCTCCCTCTCGTGGAGAGCACCATGATATGGCGTCAGGAGATCTGGGTGTCGCTTCACGTCAGGCTGGAAAAACGTCAGGTTTTTCGATGTGCTCAGACCTGCGTGCTGCCTTCTCCCTGTCCTCCTCCAGTGGGTTTTGTCCATAACGGCTCACCTGGGGCTCCCAGGGAAGAAATCCCATAACCAGGTGTGGGGTTTGTGTTTGGGAGCTTGGAAATACCCGTAACACCAGTGTGACAGAGCAGAGCCTGCCGAGTTGGGAACAGGTCTGGGGTTAACGGGACAGCCCCATGCCCGTTAAGTCGTGCAGGTACCACCTGATTTTGAGAGTAGTTTCATTTTGACCAGCGAACTCCTTGTCCATTTCACAGGCTCGCTGCTTTTGTTTCTCCAGCCAACATCTCTCTCCTTGTCCTCAAAACTGTCTGAGAACCGAAGATCAGTCTGATAAGGGAATAAGCTGAGATTAGCCGAGCCTTTTCCCAGAAAATCACGCCTGCGCGGTCAGTGCAGCTTCAAGGGCTGGAAAACCTGCTCTGTCGTGATGCCTGGCAGCTCGCTCGGTGCCACCCTGTGAACGTTGGCAGGCGGCAGGGGCCGCTCCGCTCTGTCCTGCTGGGAGAAATTACAGTTTCGCCCTGAACAAAACGTCGTCTGCTGCGGGAGAGATGGACGTGGCCTGTGCTGCTGCTGGGAGGGGGGTTGCTTTGATAAGAGGGGACATCTCCAGCGTTATGTTTGACTGAAACGAATAACTTTCCGCTCGGTTTGGCACTCGGGATCGTCTCCTGGGCTCTGGTGGGTGTTTCATCGCTTGGCGAAGCCAAACAGTCGCTGCAAACTGCGGTTGATGCCAACCTGCCAGCCTTGACTTTCTGCGGAAGAAAAAAATGCCAATCCTATTAATTTTTTCCTCTCTTGCTGTTGCCAGACAGATGCAGGAAGGGAAGCCAGGTCTTCACGGGTGGAAGATCAGCCTTTGGATAGCCTCAGTTTTTGGAATAGCCGAGCGCCCTCCTCTCCGGAGTTCCTGCTGTGAGTTTCCCCTCTTGGTGTGACAGTCCAAAGGATCGTCAGGCCATGCCTGGGGTCGTGATCCGGGTTGAATACAACACCTGTACCTGCAGGTAGAAGCGAGAACATAACAAATAACTAGTTGATGGACTTTACCCTTCGGGGAGACCTCCCTTGTAGCCTAAACGTGGGGAAACGAGCCTGGCTTTGGCTCTGCTGGCACAGCTTTGGAGCGCCGTACCCCGTCTCTGTACCACTCCTCATCCCTGAAACAAGTTCCAGGCAGCGATGAGGGTGGCTCTGGTGTGGGAGCTCGCCCGTCCTGAATATCCAGCAGGCCAGGATGATATCCAGGGCACCGCCCCAAGCATCACCCTCATAAAACCACCCCATAAGCGAAACTGGGGCTGCTATCAGCTGTTGTGTATGTGGAAAAGATCAACGCCCTTGATCCTTAACGCTCTTCAAAGCTTTGTATGGTCTCAAAGCTCGGTCGTGTTCTCCTCTCCTTTGGGAAGGAGAAGGGCGGATGTCCCAGCTGTTGTAAACCACCCTGCCCCGTGAAGAACCCCGCTGTTCCGGCCAGCCGTGCTCCTTCTAGGTTTGTTTGTGTCCTAAGAAACACAAAAAGCTAATTCTTTCTGGTGTGGCACTGGGCAGAAAATGGTCCTTTATGCCCTGGCCCTCATCACATGGGCTGCTGGTGGCCGCATCACATGAGAGCGGCTCTTCTGTAAGGGAAAACCGAGGCTTTGTGTTCCTTATCTGATCCGTCCTGGCAGGGATGAGCTTGAGCTCTTTCCAACAGGCTAAACGCGAGGGGGGGTGCGGGTGAAGGAGCCCCTCGAGCTCACCTCCCGCCTGGCATGTGCCCCTTTGCTCGCTTTCCGGGGTTAGCTGAGCGATGCCACCCGGATGGGGGTTTCCTTATCTTTCGTGTGTCAAACGTGTCTTTTTTCAGGAGGGGGGGCAGGAAGGAAGGATGACACAGCAGTAAAAGGAGAATTCCCTTTTTGCACAGGAGAAAGGACGAGGGTTTTCAGGGTGAGTGCGAGCTCACTGGGGGTCTCGCTCCGGTGTGGTGAGAGGTTTAACCCCCCCTCTGCGAAGCTGAAGACACCAGGCACCGGCGCAGAGAGCTCCTGGTCCCCTTCTCCACCAGCCCCCTGCCCTGAGCTCGGGGGGG